ATTCCTCTGGCTATCTCAGTGTCTTTTCTTTGAAATATTGCATCTTTGCTTTGATATCTTGTTTTAAAATTCATTAAGCCCCTAGTACAGAGAAGTTTACCCTAAAAAAAAAAAAATTCATTAAGCCCTTTGAGTTCTTTGTTGTTTGTGATTATCTATTTCATGTTAGCTTTTTCCTTCTTTCTTTTCCCTCCCTCCTTCTCTTCCTTTCTTCCTTCCTCCCTCCCTCTCTCCCTCTCTCTCTTTTTCTTTCTGTGATTGTCTTTCATCTGCCATTTTTTTTCCTGTTCCCTGCCTGCCTCTCCCATTTTTTTTTTTTTACAGTAATATCTTTGTATAAGTCTGGTGCTATTTCTTTTTTACTATAACTCCCCTTTAGATGAAGTGAGTTATTCTGGGCCAGCTGCTTGTGGGGTTGTGTGCAGAGAAAGGAGTAGAGTAGAATTCCAGACTGTCAGGAATTCTCTTGGCTTCCTAGTGAAGCTCCTTCTGACGGGGTTTTGTGTATGTGTGTGAATTGGTTTAGCCCTTTCCTCTTCCAACCAGTTGGAGCTTAGCAGCTGCGGGGCTATAAAAATGGCACATCTGTGTTTCCCTGATCAGTCCACTCCCCTACTTCTCCTTGGTGCCAGTGGGACCAGAGCGGCTCCCAAAGCCAGCCCACCCATCACCATCCCAGTGTTCTACTGAAGGTGTTGTGAGTTGTGCCCTCAAGGTGCAGCCCCCTTTCTTGGAGAACTTTGAGTTCTGCCAGCTCTCCCTGAGGCCTACGGCCATAGTGTTCTCTATTGGCATTAAACTTCTGGATCTTTTCAGCACCCCTTATGGCTGCACAGGCTGATGTGATAGCTTGCTACTCTCAGCACTGTCACCTGTCACCCTCTGGCCACTGGAGCGCTCAACCCAGAAAGGCTGGGGAGTTAATCCCTCCAGGAGGAGCTCTCAAGTGGACAGCTCTGAGGCATGCTCCCTGAACTGTTACTAAGGTCCCCAGGACTGGCCCACAGGGGCTACATGTTCATGCATCCCTGTAAAAAAAATATGTATAGAAGATCTGATGATGATTCTCCTTAGCTATGTTAACATAATGAATTGTGTTTATGGACTCTCCCTTAACCATCTTTGCATTCCTGGAATGATGTGATTTTTAAAGGTACTGCTGAATTCTATTTGCTTATATTTTAAGATTTTAAAGACAATATTTATAAATGAGATGAATCTGTAGCTTTCTCTTTTTGTGCAACCTCTGTTTGGTTTTAACGTCATTGTTCTCACTTTATTAAAATAATTTGGTAGTTTTCCTTCTTTTTAGGCTCTGGAACAGTTGAAGAAACATTGAGATTATTTGGAGTTGCCTATAAAACCTTTAGGACCTGGTGCTTTTTTCTTTTTAGGTGGTGATGAGAGACCTCTTTTATAGCTTCTGTACTTCTGTGACAATTAGTCTTTATAGGCTGGGCATGGTGGCTCACTCCTGTAATCCTAGAACTTTGGGAGGCTGAGGTGGGAGGACTGCTTGAGCCCAGGAATTCAAGACCAGCCTGGGCAACATAGTGAGACCAGATCTCTACAAATTAAAAAATTAGTCAGTCATGGTGGTGCACACCTGTGGTCCCAGCTACTTAGGAGTCTGAGGCAGGAGGATCACTTAAGCCTGAGGAGGTAGAGGCTGCAGTGAGCCATGATCATGCCACTGCATTCTGGCCTAGGTGAAAGAGTAAGACCTTGTCTTCAAATTAAAAAAAAAAAAAGAAAAGAAAGAAAATCAGAAAATTGTCTATTTAAGTGGTTTTGGCTGGGCACAGTGGTTCACACCCTTTGGCCTCCAGGGTGGGTAGATCACTTGAGGTCAGGAGTTTCAGACCAGCCTGGCCAACATGGTGAAACCCTGCTTCTACTAAAAATATAAAAATTAGCCAGGCGTGGTGGTGGGTGCCTATAATCCCAGCTACTTGGAAGGCTGAAGCAGGAGAATCGCTTGAACCTGGGAGGCAGAGGTTGCAGTGAGCCAAGATCATGCCACTGCACTCTAGCCTGGGCAACAGAGAGAGACTGTCTCAAAAATAAACAAACAAATAAAATAGTTTCTATTGGGGTCACTCTGATTAATTATTTTTTCTTAGATTATCCGTAAAAATCCAGTGTTTAAGTGTTAAAATTTGATTCATTCAAATTCCTAAAAAAGCCTCTGTTGAAACATGTCACTAGGCTAGTTATGGCTTGTGAACTGCCATTTTGCAATGACTAGATAGAGAATTTTTGACCTGAAAGAGGCCATATGGATTCTATACTGGGGATTGCAAACAGGTAACATGCCTGGCAGATGACTTAATTGTGTGAGGTGAAGACATTGGCGAATTGGAGAGCCAATACCTCAAAGACAAGCAAGTTAATTTTGAACAATATATATATTATTTCTTGAGATAGTGTCTTGCTCCGTTGCCCAGGCTGGAGTGCAGTGATATGATCTTGGCTCACTGCAACCTCCGCCTCCCAGGTTCAAGCAATTCTCTTGCCTCAGCCTCTTGAATAGCTGAGATTACAGACATGTGCCACCACTCCTGACTTATTTTTGTATTTTTAGTAGAGACGGGGTTTCACCATGTTGGCCAGGCTGGCCTTGAACTCCTGACCTCAGATGACCCTCCTGCCTCAACCTCCCAAAGTGCTGGGATTACAGGTGTGAGCCACCACGCTTGGGCGAATCTTCTCATCTTGAAAATAAATTATTTGTGGAATTGAATCTAACTCTATTTTATACATTATGAAAATGAGGCCCCAAGTAGTTAAGTCCCTATTCACATGGGAATAGGACCACTGCCCTTTTTGGCATTCTATCATTTAATAGTTCCATTATAGAATCAGAAACTGTAACAGAAATGAAATTTCTTTATTTTTAGAACTGATTTTAATGTCTGACTCTAAATCCCCAGCCTACCTCTTTGCAGATAATTTCAGACATCTTCTGGTAAATTGAGAACCCATCCAGTAATTTTGAGTGGACATAATTTCAGCCTTATTGATTCATCTTGGGCTCATTCAGAGCTCTCTAAACTTCCTGCCTCTTCTTCCCCAAAGCTGATCCAATTCCTAGAGAAATTGTACAGCCACAGCTAGGAAGAGGTGAGGTTGGCAGTGACCATTTTTGTGATCTCATTAGGTCTTACTGGCATCATCTGATGCCCCTTGTGAGCCTGGATACTCTCCTTCTCACTCTTGGATCCTCAGACAGCTCAGGAGACTGATGGGACACCCCTCCTGCCTATAGCCATCTCCTACCATCTCTCTTGCTTTCTCCAGGCCCAGTTGTTTGTTTCAGAAGCTCTCTAAACTTTTGAAGGGGATCCTCTTATATTTCCTTCCTTAAGACAAGGTCTGCAGTAGGGGTGACAAAAACTTGACTAAGTGGTAGATAAGGCACCAAAGTGAGTCATGCAGACTCTCACCTGCTCACTCCCTCCTCTGCATGCCATTCATGCCAAGTCCCCTTTTAAAAGCCCTTGCTCTCTGCTCCAAAAGCAAAGAGGTACCCTAAGACAGGAAGCCCATACTTTTCCCCTTAAGCTAGCTTTGGAATCAAAAGTCACTTTCCTTCTACCAAATCTTGCTTTTTTTATTTTTGAGGCGAAATCTCTCTGTTGCCCAGGCTGGAGTGCAGTGGCACGATCTCGGCTCACTGCAACCCCCACCTCCCATATTCAAGTGGTCCTTCCACCTCAGCCTCCTGAGTAACTGTGATTACAGGCACCTGCCCCCTTGACTGGCTAATTTTTTTGTATTTTTAGTAGAGATGGTATTTCACCATGTTAACCAGGCTGGACCAGACCTTGCTTCTGTTAACTGAACGCTACAAATGGCAAGCAACTGTACCTGAAATTTAGCTACACTACTTTCTTAAAAAAAAAAAAGGGGGCCCTGGCTGCATGCAGTGGTTTATGCTCATAATCCATCACTTTGGGAGGCCAAGGTGGGTGGATCACTTGGGGTCAGGAGTTTGAGACCAGTCTGGGCAACATGGTGAAATCCCGTCTCCATTAAACATACAAAAATCAGCTGGGTGTGGTGGCGGGCACCTATAATCCCAGGTACTTACAAGGCTGAAGCAGGAGAATAACTTGAACCTAGGAGGCAGAGGTTGCAGTGAGCCAAGATAGGGCTCCAGCCTGGGAACAGAGCGAGACAGTGTCTCAAAAAAAAAAAAAAAAAAAAAAGCGGGGGGGGGGGGCAAAAAAAAAAAAAAGCCCTATCTTTGCAGGACGGGTGAGTTACCCCAAATTGGGACTTAGCCCAGGAGAGTTCCTGGCTTTGCCCAAGGAAAGAATTCAAGGGTGAGCCAGTGGTGTTAGGAATCTTTTATTGAATAGGCTGTTCCTTGTGGAGTAGGGCTAACTCATAGGCTAACGCAGCACCTGGTGTATGGGATGTTGGCAACTGTATTTATACTCACTTTTAATCCTTTCTCAGTCTTTTGGCTAAGATCAAGTGTAGTATACTCATCCTACCCACTTTCAATCACACATACATTAAGGGGCAAGTTAATGCAAATTGAGGGGTGGGTTTCTAGAGCTTTCTGGGAAAGGGGTGGCAACTTCCTTGTCATTGCCAAGACATTGGTAAACAGTCATGGCACTGTTGGGAGTGTCTTATGCTAATGTGGAATGGGGACAGCTAGGGGTTTGCTTTTGTCCCTGTCTGGTTCATGCCAGTTTTTTCTACCTTATCCTGTCTGGACCAGATCCTGTTTTGGTCAGCAGGGTTGTGACCAGAAGGCAAGTCCTGCCATTCTCCTATCTTACCAGGACTCTGGCAGCCATTTTAGCCCCTTTGAGCCCCAGTCTCCTGCGTATGGAGTTGGGCAAAAGTTTGGGTAGTTGTGAGGATTCACTGAGGTAATGCCTGTCAGTGTCCAGTAGTTGTTAGACTCCCACATTCCAATCCCTGTGCCCCTCCCTCCAGAACCTTTCACTGTGACCTAAGGAGATTCTGAGAATGATATTCTCAGAGCAGGGCTTCTAGTAGCTGATTGTATGGTGGGAGAAGTGAAGTGAAGCTCTTTCTTGCCTTGTTACTGAAGAAATCTTTTGGTTTCTAGTATTACTGAATTCTTGGGGAAAATTTGTAGTCCTCACCTTGAAAGGCAAAAGGGCTAGTTGTGCCATTTGCCCACCCAGGAACCATGAGGAGATATACGATAACTTATGCCTGGCAGCTCCTGAAGAAGGAACTGGTGAGGAGGGGCAAGGGCTCTGGGAGGGAAGAGCAGAAGATTGGACAGGTGTTTTGAGGAAGGCAGATGCAGGTGTAGGAGAGGGCCTTGGATGAATGGTGGCCATCCTGTACCATCTGGAGTCACAGCATGGCACAAAGGAGGGACCCCTGCCCTGGAGCCTACCAGCCCCCGACACTGGGCAAGCCATGGGCCATGCTCAGAGCCACTGAGTCCTATTCTGTACCCCTTCTTCCTGCTATTATGAGATCCAGAGAGAACAAGGCAGGGTAGCAACATAGAGTCATAGGTTAAGCTTGTGAACTCTGGAGCCAGACTACCTGGGTTTAAATCTATTACCTATTAGTCATGTGACCTGAGGCAAGTTGCTTGGTTTGCTGTGCCTTTATTTTCTCCTCTGTAAAGTGAGATGATAGTGTTAGTACCTACTGCATAAATTTACTATTGATTAAATGATTTACATATTAGAATAGTGCTTTGAATAATGCCTGACAATAGTAAATTGTATTCAGTAGGTATTAATTTTATTCATAAAGTACCTTTCCTGATATTTCCTTAGATATCTAGTTCTTAAGAAATAGAACATTACAGGTGCAGGTAAAGCTCTTTACCATCCCATGCCTCTTTATTTCTCTTTACTAGTAACTACTTTTCTGGTGTCACCCTTCCTATTTATATTTTTATGTATTATCACATGTGTATATATCCAATAACAACATATAGTATGTGGCACACTTTTAAAAAATGATAAATGGCATCATAGTTCTTTTTTCCCACTCAAAATCATTTCAGCCTTATCCACATTGAGACCACACAGACTTAGTGCTGTTTTCAGTCCTGTGGCTGTACCATAATGTATTGATCCCTTTGATCCCTACTAATGGACACTTGTTTTCAGCCATTTACTATTACAGACAGTGTTGCCATGACTGCCCTCATGGCTATCTCCTTGTGCATGTATGTGAGTTTCTCTGAAGAAGACACATAAAGTACATACAATTCCTCCATTGTGAAGTACACACATCCTCAACTTTATATATAATGTTGCCAAATTGCTCTTCAACATGCTCTTGTTACTACTTTAATTTCCATTTCCATTATTTCTAGCAGTGTTAAGAATGGTTTCATAATTTGGCTGGGGCATGGAGACTCATGCCTGTAATCTCAGCACTTTGGGAAGCTGAGGCAGAAGGATCACTTGAATCCAGAATTGGAAACCAGCATGTGCAACAAAGTGAAACCCCTTCTTTACAAAGCATATAAATATAAATAGAAATGAGTAAAAACAGTCTTTTCACAATTTGTATGTAATTTGAACTTTCCCTTTGAATTACCTGTTCATATCCTTTGCTCATTTTGCTGTTGGGTTACTTGTATTTTTCTTTTGATTTGTAGGATTACGAAAAATAGATTTTGGTTAGTAATCCTTTGTTGTTGATTATACGCAGAGCAAGTATATTTTACCAGTCTGCAGTTTGTTTTCTTACTTAGTTAATGATATACTTTAGCTAGTCTCAAACTCCTCCAACAATACCTCAAGCAATGGGCCCACCTCAGCCTCCCAAAGTATTAGGATTACAGGCTTGAGCCATTGCTCCTGGCGTTTTTTTTTTTTTTTTCTCACAGAGTCTTGCTCTGTTGTCCAGGCTGGAGTGCAGTGGGATGATCAAGGCTCGTTGCAACCTTGACCTCCTGAGCTCAAACAATCCTCCTGCCTCAGCCTGCTGAGTAGCTGGGACCACAGGTGAGCTCTACTGTACCCAGCTAATGATGTACTTTTCAACATAAGTTAGTAAACAGAGATTTTATTTAGTTTCTGAATTTTTTTCCTGACCCCCCCAAAAACTAAAGTTTTGCATTTTTTATTGGAAAATTTTCGAACATAAAAGTTGAAATATTTTACATATATATGTATATGTATCACCCTCTAGATCTATCATTCACCATTTTGCTGTATTGGCTTTATGTATTTGTGTATGTGTTTGCTGAATTGTTTGAAAGTAAGCTGTATACTTTATGACATATCTTTCTTAAAAATAATGACATTACCCACATAACCAAATACCACTATTATACTAAGAAAATCAGCACTGATTTCCTAATATTATCTAATGTACAGTCATATTCAGTTTCCTAATTTTTCCATACAGTGCCTTTGCTCTGTTGCCCAGGCTGAGTGCAGTGGCACGATCTCAGCTCACTGCAACCTCCACCTCCTAGGTTCAAGTGATTCTCCTGCCTTAGCTTCCTGAGTACCTGGAACTACAGGCATGCACCCCCATGCTCAGCTAATTTTTGTATTTTTAGGAGAGATGGGGTTTCACTACATTAGTCAGGCTGGTCTCGAACTCCCTACCTCAGGTGATCCACCCACACCCTCCCAAAGTGCTGGAATTACAGGCATGAGCCACTGTACCTGGCCTAGAGTGCCTTTTATAGCTTATTATTATGAACCAGGATCCAATCAAGAAGCATACCATTGGTATGTCTTTTGAATCTTTTATTAATCTAGAGCAGTCCCCATGCCTGTTTTTCTCCTCATGAAATTGACTTTTTGAAGAAACAGGGTTCGTTGATTTATAGATTGTTCTACATCCTGGATTCTTCCCTATCCTCTGTATTCACTTGTTCTCAGTTCCAATTCCAAATTCCCAGGGAAAAGGTAGGGTGGCCCATCTTGGATTAGGTGTTATATTAGTTTTCTATGGCTGCCATAACAAATTACCACAATTTGGTGGCTTAAAGCAAAGCAAATTTAATACCGTAACAGTACTGTAGGCGAGTAGTCTGACACAGATGTTCTTGTTCTAAAATCAAGGTGTGAGCAGGCCTGCATTCCTTCCTTAATTCTCAAGGCCTTTTCTGCTTCTAAAGGCCACCCACATTCCTTGGCTTGTGGGCCCTTCCTCCATCTTGAAAGCCAGCAGTGTTGCATCTCTCTTACCATTATTTCCTCAGATCTATCTGATTCTAAAATTCAGGCTCTGTACATCCTACCTATACTGCCTGCAATTAGTTGTGCCACTTACTTTGTGGATGGAAGTGAAGGATTTGACATTTAACTGGTTTACTGGTGCATAACAAACTGGCTTCTGGGGAGAGGAGATGCCCTGACTCGTAGCTCCAATTTCTGTGCCATAAATACTCCTACCATGGCCAGTTTCAGGCTACCAACTTAATTTCAGCAGGCTTGCAAACTTCCTGAAAATCTAGCCATCACTCTAGCACATCACTTCATTTAATCCTGGTACGTTTCACCTTGTTCAGTGCCATCCAGACTGCTGTTGACAATCATAATTAATTGCATGCTTGACCTCCTGGGCTCTATTGGTTTGTATTGATTTTGTTTGCTTTGTTTCCATAGGGACTGTGCCAGCTTGCCAGGGATATCATGATAATGATCCGAGTGTGTAAAATGTTCCGCCAAGGCCTCAGGGGATTCCGGGAATATCAAATCATTGAGACTGCTCACTGGAAGCACCCTGCCTTCTCCTTCTGGGATGTAAGCAGCTGGGCTCAGCAGGGTTATGAGGGCTTAAAGAGGCCCAATAAATTACACCCCACTTCCTGGCCCAAACTCAGAACTAACTGAGAAAGAAGACAAAAGAAAAAGCAGATGAGAGATCCAATGGTCTCCTTTATTAATGACCAGACTTCTGTTAGAGAGGGTTACTTATATCATCAAGCAACAGGATTACCTAATGCTGAACCCCAGATTTAGACAGCTTTTCATGCCTAGCCACAGGCAGTGTTGGACCAAGGCAGGCTCCAGTGCAACAGCAGGCCTGCTGGCCTAAACTCATGGCAGGGAAAGGTGGAGCAAAATATGGGCTCAGAGGGAAAGGACAATCATGCCTAGTTTTTCTCTTTCCAAATTTACCAAAGAGCTTAAGTCACTCCTTCTCAATGTAGAAGGAGAGAAGCCGGTAGTGTTCTGTTAATACACCTCCCTCCATGTGGAAAGAAACCTTGAGGGTGGAGAAATGGTCTTCATTTCAACAGTGATCAAAACAGCCAGAAGCAGTCCAGGAGTCACAGTAACCAAGGTTTCTGAATGCCCAAATGCTCGCTCTATTTATGTCTCTACTTTATTTTTATTTTTATTTTTTGAGACGGAGTTTCGCTCTTGTTACCCAGGCTGAAGTGCAATGGCGCGATCTTGGCTCACCACAACCTCCGCCTCCTGGGTTCAGGCAATTCTCCTGCCTCAGCCTCCTGAGTAGCTGGGATTACAGGCACGTGCCACCATGCCCAGCTAATTTTTTTGTATTTTTAGTAGAGATGGGGTTTCACTATGTTGACCGGGATGGTCTCGATCTCTTGACCTCGTGATCCACCCGCCTCGGCCTCCCAAAGTGCTGGGATTACAGGCTTGAGCCACCGCGCCCGGCCTATGTCTCTACTTTCTTTCCCACATCCCTACTTCAGTGAAGAGAGCATTTTCAGGCCCTGTTCACTGTGGTGACTATGTTTTTAGATTTCCTAGAAGGTCCCAATTTAAAATATTTTATCCCAGTGGTAGATCATGAGCCCTTCTTTAGCTCAAAAAGTTGGTCACCCTTCTGTTAACTTGTTCATTCTAGTTCTCCAAAGGTATCTTCATTGCTACTGTGTGTTGCTCAGGGCTTGAAAGTTTCCCCAGCAGTCAGCTGGACAAATCCTGCCCATTTTCCTGTTGTTTTGGGAATGTCTAGAGCCAGCCTCCACCCCTCTGCATCTAGTGATTCACTCCAAGAAATTTCCCTAAAGGGCATCTGACAGATAGTGGCCAAAGAAACAGGGATAGGGGCTGGTGATGGGGGAAAGAAAGGCAGCCTTAGACTGGTTTCTAAGGGGCGAGCAGGTAATATAACTAGTGTGTGTGTAGCTGAGTTTAAGATACAGCAGGCCATGCTAATACTGGCACAGAGCACTAATCATACAGCTTATTAACAGTGAGGTGAATAACTTTGAAATAAAGTTTTAGAGAAATATTAAAAAAAAAAAAAAGATACAGCAGACCAGCTTGAGAGGAAGGATATGCCCCATCTAAATACATTCAGATTCATAGACTCTAGACACCATGCTGGCCAAACCAAACAAAGCTGCAGCCCTGTGGTTGGGCTGGGATGAGAAATGAATGGAGTGGAAGAACTGTAACCCAAAGACTCAGGTTAGCTCTCAGGAAGGACCTTCTGACTCTCAGGGTGGCATGCAATGGTGACACAATGGGCTCTGGAGATCAGAGGGCTTTGATTACCAGAAGACATGGCCTGATGCATGGGGCAGTTGGAAGCTTAGATGTAGAGTCAGCCTTGTTATTAGGGGAGTGCAAGGCTAAGCCTCACCACATGGGCCAGCCAGAGTGGCTTGAGCAGAGCAGAAGCCTCTCAAGAATAGCCTTTAAGGGTCATAGGGTTGTCATGTGGAGCACTGGGCAGCTGGAGTGCAGGATCAGGTGGAGAGCCCTAGACTGCTTCAGTAGATTTGTGAATCTGGATGTTTCTGAGCACATCCTCTTTCCTTCAGTAGCCTCCCTGAGAAGTACCACATGGCTACGCAAACGGTAAACAGGTAGTGGGGGTGAGCGAGACAGGGGTCTGAGTGGCTCCAAGGAACAAATGACATGTGGCTCAAGGCCACACTCCAGATATGGAATTGGGTTTGCCGAAAGCCTTGGGTTGGGATCCCAGCTGGACTACTGACTTGCTGTGCAACTTCCTTCATCACCTCAGTCCCATATGGGGCTTAATAAAACCTGCTTTGTCCTGATGATTAAATGGAGCAAGATAAGGAAGATACACTGTGCTTGGCTCATTAAAGATGGTTGGCTTCATTTTTCCTTTATTTTTATCCCTCCTTTTCTTACCCCCTATACTTGTTTGCTGCTTTTCCCCCTTCCTTTTCTCTCTCCTTTCCTTTTCTCTCCTTATCTTCCTTTCCTTCTCCCCACCCCATAGTTCTCTGCCTTCACTATAATATGTTGTCAATGCTGGACCCAAGCCTAGTGCCGAATTGAGCCTTTCAAGCAGAGGCAGGACTGAAAGGCTGCTACGAGGTTTCCCTTGGCTTCCTGCCCACCATGGTGGTCCCAGTACACAGGAGGGCTTTAGATGTAAAGTTCTAGGGGCAATCTTGCTGATTCTCCCTCCTCTCCCTGCCCTCTTTCTTTCAGAGAAAGAGGCAAAGCCGCGTCACATTTGATACCATGGACTTCATTGCAGAGGAGGTATGCATAGGTCGAACCTTGCTGTGGGAGAATTTCCTTTCTGCACCCTGGCTTGGAAGAAACCCTGGCTGGGCATCAGCAGAGCTGGTTTCAGTCTAGGCTCTGCCACCAACTCAGCATATCACCCTGAGGTGGCCACTTCATTTTCTTATTTATAAAACAGCTGATCTCAGTGATTCCTTCTAGCCCTCAGTTCCAAGACTGTGAGCATCTAGGAACCAGCTGTCACTGCATAGTTGAGCAGAACCAATGGGAGAGAGTCCCTGGGCTTGGACCTGTGGGAAAACAGCAGGCAAAAAAGAAACAGAGGATGTGAGTCCCAGAGAGAGGAAGAATTTGGGTGATGGGAAAAGGCTGACCTATGTGTGAATTCTGGTTCTGCCCTGAACTCACTGAGAGATGCTGGGCACTCCTCTCACACTGGTTGTCAGGTACCCTCAGAGAGTCTTATTCAGGTGCACCATACCTGTAGGCACTCAGAAGGCTGAGGTGGGTGATCACTTAAGGCCAGGAGTTCAAGACTGCAGTGTGCTATGATCACATCACTGCATTCCAGTCTGGGAGATAGAGCGAGACCCCCTCTCTAAAAAAAGTCTTCTCATTATGATAAGGGAATGCTTTTATATCTGTGGGAGCTTTAGACTGCGTAACTTGCTCCCTGAATTTCAGTCTCATCATTGTTATCTTCTTGGCTTCTCTCCATCATATCCTGGGTATTAAATATTAAAATCCAATGTAAAATTTAAAAGAGCCAGCCGGGCGCGCTGGCTCACGCCTGTAATCCCAGCACTTTGAGAGGCCAAGGCAGGTGGATCATGAGGTCAAGAGATCGAGACCATCCTGGTCAACATGGTGAAACCCCGTCTCTACTAAACATACAAAAAAAATTTGCTGGACATGGTGGCGCGTGCCTGTAATCCCAGCTACTCAGGAGGCTGAGGCAGGAGAATTGCCTGAACCCAGGAGGCGGAGGTTGCAGTCAGCCGAGATGGCGCCATTGCACTCCAGCCTGGGTAACAAGAGCAAAACTCCATCTCAAAAAAAAAAAAAAAAAAAAAAAAAAAGAGCCTACCTATTTATCAGGAAGGTCCGAAGTTCTCACCAGTGCAGACCTGACTTGACCCTGGCTTGGGGTACCCATGTTAGTTTTTTTCTCAGGGAATGGGAAAAGAACAGAACTTTATAATAGGTACCAGGGCCACCTGTGTCCATCTCCTGCCCCACCCCTTTCACTTCTTGGAGCCCAGGTATGGCTTCTGTTCCCTGCCTCTCCTGGGCACAGCCTTATTTTGTCATGCCCCCTCCTGTATGAAGCATACTCAGTTAAGTCATCCAAACTCTGTGATCTTCAGCTCTTTAGACTGGCTAGTGTGTGACACTGGGCACTGAAGGTTAAACAAACTCTATTCTCAGACAGGAGAAACTAGGGGCCTGAGAGCCACAGAACTCTAGATAAGAGGCCAATTCTGTGCACTGCAGTAGAGGGAGGGAAGAGGGCACAAGGAAAATTCTTTGTTATGGGCAAGGTGCATAGGTGGCCCTTGAATGAATCATGCCTGACTCTGGTTCTAACATCGAGAAGAGTAGAGAGCCAATTTATCCTCCCATCTCAGCCTTCTGAGTAGCTGGCATTTACAGGTGTGCCCCACTGAGCCCAGTTGGAGATCCAATTTAAAAACCAGCCCCTTGGCCAGATGTGCTGGCTCATGCCTGTAATCCCAGCGCTTTGGGAGGCCAAGGAAGGAAGATTACTTGAGCTCAGGAATTCTAGACCAGTCTGGGCAACATAGTGAGACCCTGTCTCTACTAAAAATTAAAATAAAAGTAATTAGCTGGGCACGGTAGCTGACACCTGTAATCCCATAACTTTGGGAGGCTGAGGTGGGAGGATCGCTTGAGCCCAGGAAATCAAGGTTGCAGTGAGCTATGACTATGCCACTACACTGCAGTCTGGGTGACAGAGTTAAGGCCCTGTCCCCTTCCCACCCCCCAAAAAAACAAAAAAAGGGCCCAGCCCTTTGAGTGATGTTAATGAGTATGGGGTTTCTTTGGGGGTGATGAAAAGCTTCCAAGGCTGGGCGTGGTGGCTCACACCTGTAATCCAAGCACTTTGGAAGTCAAGATGGGCGGATCATCTGAGGTTGGGAGTTCAAGACCAGCCTGACTAACATGGTGAAACCCCGTCTTAAAAAAGAAAAAAAGAAAAGCTTCCAAAATAATGTGGTGATTGTTGCACAACTCTGTGAATACACTAAAGCCACTGAATTGTTCACTTTAAATGGTGACTTACAGGGTATGTCAATTATATCTAAATAAAAAATGACATTAACATGTAATATACACACCTATATAGTTATATAACCCGCCCCTCAGCATAGCATTTGGATCCTGATGGAAAAACTAAGCCTCAGTATAGCCTATATTGGGCTTCCTCTAACACTCAACTTCTCGTAGAGAACCTTAGAATTGGAGAGGCTTAGAATCATAGACTCTCTTATTGTAGCAACTGTGAGACAGTGGAAACAATAGGTACATTTAAAAATATTGTTTAGAAAAACACTGAGTGAAGAAAAGCAAGTTGCACAAGTGATGTCTATAGTCTATTTACATAAATTATTTATTTATTTATTTATTTATTTTTTGAGACGGAGTTTCGCTCTTGTTGCCCAGGCTGGAGTGCAATGGCGCGATCTCGGCTCACCGCAACCTCCGCCTCCTGGGTTCAGGCAATTCTGCCTCAGCCTCCTGAGTAGCTGGGATTACAGGCACATGCCACCATGCCCAGCTAATTTTTTGTATTTTTAGTAGAGACGGGGTTTCACCATGTTGACCAGGATGGTCTCCATCTCTTGACCTCATGATCCACCCGCCTCGGCCTCCCAAAGTGCTGGGATTACAGGCTTGAGCCACCGCGCCCGGCCTATTTTTATTTTTTGAGACAGTCTCGCTATGTCATACAGTCTGAAGTGCAGTGATGCAATCACAGCTCACTGCAACCTCAACCTCCCTGAGTTCAAGTGGTCCTCCCATTTTAGCGCCCCCAGTAGCTAGGACTACAGGTGTGCACCACCATGCCTGGCTAATTTTTAAATTTTTTTGTAGAGATGAAGGTCTTGCTATATTGCCCAGACCAGTCTTGAACTCCTGGGCTCAAGCGATCCTCCTGCATTGGCCTCCCAAAGTGCTGGGATTACAGGCATGAGCTGCTCTACCCAGCAGTAAATTAAAAAATATATAGTCTTATATATTCTGTGTATGTGTGTGTATATATATATATATATATATATATATATGCGTATACGTAAAAGTGGTAAACTCAGGTGGTGGGGAGCAGATCTGGGCTGGGGTGATGTATATGTACAAGAGGATTTTAACGATCTGTATTGTTCTGATTTCTAATGGAAGATAGGTTTTATTTCCAAAAATTTTACTTATATCTAAGAAAAAATACAGGAAGTTAGTATGTCAGATATTAATGGCTAATTTTGGGTGGTGGGATTATGGGCAGTCATTCCCAGTCATTCTTTCTTGCTTCTTCCTGTCTGCTGGAGGAACACAGTAGGGGTATAGCTGGCCTCCAGTGAGTGAAGGGAAAATGGTGAGAAATGGTATTTGAGAAGCGGGCAGGGGCTTCTCTAGTCTCCTAGGCCCTATTTGAAGTGTATTCCCTTTTCCCCATCCCAGACAGTTTTTTGACCTCCTAAGGTAGGCCTAGATCTGTGTGTAGTCGTGAGGAATACTAGGTTGTGTGACATCTCCACCCTGCCAGTGAGAAGCTAATTAGGAGTTATTATGAGACTTAACTAGTAATTTACCCACTTCCATGATAATGATTTTAATTCATTCATTAAGGCAGAGCCCTTGTGACCTAATTACCTCTTAAAGGTCCTACTTTTACAATTTCTTTATAGAAACAAGGTCTTGCTATGTTGCCCAGGCTGGTCTCAAACTCCTGGCCTCAAGCGATCCCCTTGCCTTGGCCTCCCAAAGTGTTGGGATTGATTACAGGCATGAGCTACTGTGCCCAGCCTTCACTTCTTAATAATGTCACAATAGCAATTATATCTTGACACAAATTTTGAAGGGGACATTCACCTTATAGCAAGAGCCTATTGAGGGAGAAGGGGCTATTCTTTTAGCTAAGATGACCCATTGGGGACTCACTGAGGGTGTGGTAGCATCTGAGCTGGGACCAGAATGATAGGGAGGCAGCTCTGTCCATAGAAAACCCAGGGGACAAATATTCCAGGCAGTAAAAAACAGCCCAGGTGGAGACCTCAGGACAGAGCCAGGCTTAGCACATGCCAGGCACAGAAAGTTTCAGAATAGAGAACAAAGGGGAGAGGTAGGAGATGAGGTTGGCAAGACGCCATTGAGGGGTGTTCACAACTCACAGTGCCACTTCCTCAGCAAGTGGTAGGTGAATGTGCTGGTCCATGAGTCCTGATTCACTGGAAAAGAAAAGGTTTAGCTAATAGTCTCCGGAAGGTTCTCTTTGCTCCTTAGTCTTCTGTAGCACGCCGAGGTATAGGCTGAGACATGGGTGAAGTTCTCCCCTGACTGCTGTGTGTGTGTGCGCTGAGCAGACTCTGCAGGACCCCTGGAGCCCAGGAAACCTGTATTTCCTGGGAAGGTCAATGAACAGCACAGGTCAGGGGGATGTCACCCCTAATTTGTGGCAGATCAACTCCTAATTCTGCCTGAGTTTCTTCATCTGTCAAATGGAATTTGTTCTTGGACTGGTGAGGATGCAGTGAGATGGGCAAGTGAAATGTTTGTCCTAGTGCCTGACACATAGTAAGCACTCATCACATGTCAGTCACTGTGGTACAGGGAACGGGTACAAGCAGGACTATTGGGTGTTGCCCTCTGGCCCATGGACGAAACTGCTGGGTCCCTTGTGTCACTCTGGTCCTCTCTCCCCAGGGTCACTTTCCTCCAAGAGCTATTCAGATCATGCAGAAGAAGCCTTCCTGGAGGACAGAGGATGAGATCCAGGCCGTCTGTAACATCCTGCAGGTTTTGGATAGCTATCGGAACTTTGAGGAGCCCCTACAGCTGCTCCTGGCCAAAGTCATGCGCTTTGAACGGTCAGTGATGGGCACAGCCCTTGGCCACCAGGCTGAGGCTGGGCTGAGCCAAAGAGCCTGGCTCAGGTGTGGGCAGGTCCTTCCCACACCTCTGTATAGTGTCAGCCATAAAGTCTTCTGTCCATTCACTTTAGTGCCCACTACTATGGTCGCAGCACCATTTATCTCACTCACTTATTGAGACTCTTAGAGAATTAAAGGGCCATTAAATCTGGAGAGGATCTAGTAGGAACCTCAGAGAGGATCTGGTCCAATTCCCTCCTTTTTCAAATAAGGAAACTGAGGCTTTCTGGGGGAAAATGGCCCCTTCTAGTTCACCCAGACAATAAAAAGCAGAGCTGAAACTCAAATTTAGGCTCTAAAATTCAGGATGGATCACAGTTGATTGTACCATATCTAAGTAGGCACTAGCACACAGTCTGTGAACTTGAATGAGAAATGTCTCTATTTCCATTAACCTCTAGGTGAAATTATTATTTCCTTCAGTCATGAATATAGGCAACAAACCACTGTCATATTAGCTGTCCCTGTGACTTTTTCACTGAAAGAAATCATAGATATTTTCATATCATATTCAAGTTGCAGATTTCTCAAAAAATTTATGTTCATCACATCTTCAAAATTATGGTAGTTACTAGATCTACTGCTAGATCTGTTATTCAGTGTCTTAATAAAGATACAAATATATTGCTCTATCATAAATTCGGTTTAAAAAACATTTGTTAACTGTAATTATACTAGATTTTATTTTCTGCGTTTAAAACATTATCCTGTGTATGCTTTACCAGATCGTCAAAGGGTCCATGATACAAGAAGTGCCATGTAAATGCCATATACTAGAAAAGCGTAAGAGGTACATGTGGAAATACTGCCATTTCTAGGCTGTCTCAATGGCTTAAAGAGGGGCAGCCTAGCAGAATATTTTTGGTAAGGCTTGTCTTGAAAATAGAAGATATGTCTGGGCACAGTGGCTCATGCCTATAATCCCAGCACTTAGGGAGGCCAAAGTGGGAGGATCACTTGAGCCCAGGAATTCAACCAGCCTGGACAACATGGTGAGACCCCATCTCCACAAAAAAAATTTTAATTAGGTGGGCGTGGCAGTGGTGGCGGCATGCACTTGTAGTCCCAGCTACTTCAGAAGCTGACGCTGGATCACTTGAGCCCGGGAGATTGAGGCTGCAGTGAGCTGTGATTGTGCCACTGGACTCCAGCCTGGGCAACAGAGCAAGACCCTGTCTCAAAAAGAAAAAAAAAAAAAAGAGGCTGGGTGTGGTGGCTCATGCCTGTAATCGCAGCATTTTGGGAGGCCAAGGCGGGCAATCATGAGGTCAAGAGATCAAGACCATTCTGGTCAACATGGTGACACCCATCTCTACTAAAAATATAAAAATTAGCTGGGCGTGGTGGTGTGCGCCTGCAGTCCCAGCTACTCAGGAGGCTGAGGCAGGAGAATTGCTTGAACCCGGGAGGTGGAGGTTGCAGTGAGCCAAGATCATGCCACTGCACTCCAGCCTGGTGACAGAGCAAGACTCTGTCTCAAAAAATTTTTTTAAAAAAGAAAACCCAAGATTTAAGGTGACTATAGGTTTGTACCCTAATATCTTCCTTTATGGAGGTCACAATCTAAGGCGTAAGTACAACTAACTACAGATTTTCGGACCCTTTGTGATCAGTGCAGATGTTCCCAGCTGGTTTGGTCAAGAGTTTCATAGAAGTTATGTTTGAATAGGTAGCTTTGACAGGTGGAAATGTAGATGAGGACATTCCAGGCAGAGGGGACCATTTGCTTTGTTCTAGCCCAGTGATGAAGAGTGAGTCACCACTGTCTATAAAGTAAGATTCTATGCCAGGCAGAGTGGTATCATGGAAAGAAAAAGAATTGTGGCACTAGAAGCTCTGGAGTTTTTGTTGACAGGGTCTTGCTCTGCCACCCAGGCTGTAGTACAAGGGCATGGTCAAAGCTCCCTGTAGCCTGGACTTCCCAGGCTCAAGTGATCCTCCTGCCTCAGCCTCCAGAGTAGCTGGGACTACAGGGACACCACACCCAGTTATTTCTTTTAAATTTGTTTTTAGTAGAGATGAGTTTTTGCTGTTTTGCCCAGTCTGGTCTTGAACTCCTCAGCTCAAGCTACCCTCCTGTCTCAGCTTCCCTAAGTGCTGAGATTACAGGTGTGAGCCACTGTCCAGCTGAAACTCTGGAATTTAATACCTGATGTGCCCCATGTAACCTCAGGCAAGCCACTTAACCTTTCTGAGCCCAGAATCCACATCAGTGAAATAAGGATAATAATATAGATTTTATGAATTTTATTAAGGATATTAATAAGATTTGGGGGAAGATCAATTAAGGTGGTTATTGTGAAAGACCTCTGCTAGTTGTGGTTTATTTCTGGGACTGGGAATTAGCATCTTAGACAGGATTCTTCCAGTTGCAAATATTCGAAAACCCAGCTTAAGGGAACGTATTCATGGTTCTTGTATCTGCAAAGTCCTGGGACAGTTCTCCAGCTTCAGGCTGGCTGGAATTCAGGGGCACAGTGTCTACCTGTCTCTCTCTATCTCTAGGCACGTTGTTCGTATCAGCATCATCCTCCGCCAGCTCTCCCCTCATAGTGGTGAGATGGCTGCCGCAGTCTCAGCTCCAAACTTATCTTTTTAGTTTTAGTCTGATGGAAAGAAAGAAAAACTCTTTTCAATCAGTCTCATCAGAGCTTGGGATGAATTGTTTCTGAACCAGCTTGACTTTGCTTGAATTATCACTGAGGTCAGTGATGCTCTCTGATTGAGAGTTGAGGAAGGGTCGTTTCCCCAAAGGATAATCAGGCTGTGGTTGGTTGAAAAATGTGACCAGAATGCTTGACGGCAAAAGCAACAGATGTCTGCTCTCAAATATTCAGGTTCTAGCGTTGACTTGATTATGTCTTGCTTTGGCCTTCAGCAAGCTGCGGGCTCCTTGAGTCCCCCTTTCCCCGTCCCAAAAGTGTTGGTTGAACTTGATAGTCTCTGAGGGTCTTTCTGGCTCTCGCTCTAGTCATCTTTACTCAATGAACACTGACCCTTGCTCCCTCATCTTCAAAATATCATTTCCTAGCTAAATATTCCTGCTGTCTCCCAGCTGGTCATTGTCACCTAGGCCATCTCTTTCTTTTTTGATTATTATTATTTTTTGAGGTGGGTCTTGTCATGTCAGCCAGGCTTTTATGCAGTGGTGCAATCACAGCTCACTGCAGCCTCTACCTCCCAGGCTCATGTGAGCTTCCCACATCAGCCTCCTTAGTAGCTGGTGTCACCATTCCTGGCTAATTTTATTTTTTATTTTTTGTAGAGACGAAGTCTCACTATGTTGCTCAGGCTCGTCTTGAACTCCTGAGCTCAAGTGATTCTCCCACCTTAGCTTCCCAAAATGCTGGGATTACAGAAGTGTACCACTGTGCCTGCCCTGCCTCTTTCCTACGTTGATAAAGATTCTGGGTTGATACTGGTTTGTAGCTCATCAAGCCCACAGCCAGAATGGAGCCTGGACAGTACTGACTCCAGGCTAGCGTGGTCCTCTGTCCATCCCCTGATCCTTTCCCTTAGGAGTTTGCCACAGAATCATGAGGCCAGTGGGTACTCTAAAAGGTCAGAAGGGGAGAGATGCTGCTGGGGGCTGGGTCAGGGAAGGCTTCCTGGAGGAAATAGCATTTGAGTTCCTGAAAGGATCTGAATAGTGGAGAAGAGAGGGAAGACCATTCCAGGAAGGGGAGCAACATGAACAAACTGATGAAACAAAGGGCATATCATTCACCCTGAGCAGGGTGTTGGTTCCCCTGCTGCTGGTCAAGCCAGCGAGTCAGGAATGAATAGAAGGTAACAGTGTGAGGGAAGGAGGAAGAGGAGGACCTGCTGAATGCAGGACGATGAGCTCAGAGTTGGGGGAAATGGCCCTGCCATCAGGGCACTTCTACAGTGGCTGCTCATCAGTCCTGGCAGAGACTAAAGGGCAGACTTTTTGGCTCCCCATTGTCTACTGGGTAAAAGCCAAACTTAGCTGGGCTTTGAAGGCCCTTTATGATGGAACAGTTGAATTTCTCTCCTACCACTCCCTGACCTTGCCTTCTTCTCCCATTTTCCTTTCCCGTGAAGTACATATTATCTATGAAGTGCACAGTATTCCTTGAATGTGTCATACTTCGGGCCACCTCTGCACCTTTGGCCATGGTAGTCCCTGTGCCTGGTACCCTCTTCCATCTCTTTGTCCACCAGGATGACTCACTCCAGGTACCATGCTAGAGCCCTGTCTGACCTTCCTAAGCTGGGATAAAGGCCCCTTCTCTGTGCTCCCCAAATAGCCTGCACTGACATCTCTTAAAGCACTTTAAAACCTCTTTTACATCCTGTATGTGACCATAATTTTGAAAACAAAGTCTGTGTTGTTCATTGTGCCTATTTTTTAATTTATTTTGAGACAGCATCACCAGGCCAGATGCAATGGTGTGATCATGGCTCACCATAGCCCTAAACTCCCAGGCTCAGGTGATCTTCCCACCTCAGCCTTTCAGGTAGGTGGGACTACAGGTATGCATGACCACACCTGGTTACTCTTTATATTTTTTGTAGAGATGGTTTTCATCTTGTTGCCCAGGCTGCTCTCAAACTCCTAGGCTCAAACGATCCTCCCACCTTGGCCTCCCAAAGTGCTGGGATTACACATGTGTACCACCACACCTGACCTCACTGTGCCTAACAGACACAGTTGATATTTATTTAACTTGCTGAATGAATGAAGGAAATGAATAAAAATTGAAAGAATTGAGATTTGGACTTGCATATGAAATACAGAAACTTCCCTTTGAGTTTAAGAACTCCTTGTTTGCTCTGGACCTGGGCACCTCTACCCTAAGGGTGCCCAGTTGGGTAGTGAGCTGCTGGTAATTATGATGAGACCATTATCTGTGTCTCTTCTAGGTATACTCATCTGCATTTTACAGACAAGAGAAACCAAGGATCAGAGAGGGGATGTCCATTGCTCAGTGTCACACAGCTAACAGCAGAGCCAGGATTTGGATCCTGGGCTAATGCTAAAGCCAGTCCTTTTAATTGTTTAGGGACTCTAGTAACCCATTCATTGCTTTCAGCATGTGTTCACTCATTTATTCCACTATGTTCACTGAGCATTCACTGTGCCGAAGCACACACAGCAGCTACCCAGACCAGCAAACGCTCTGCTCTCAAGAAGCTTCATTCCAACCGAGGCAGGCAATGGGATAAATGTCAGTGAAAGTCTCCAGCTTGATTGGCAGGGCTGGGCTGTCCTGATGGCCCTTCTGGTACAAGTCTGTGCTCTTATACCCCAGAGCAAAGAGCACAACCAGTCCAGAGCTCCTCCCAGTGTGGACTGGCCCCCATGTCACTACCCAATCAACTGGCAATAGTCTTTTCCCAGGTTTGGTCGCAGGCGTGTGATCATCAAGAAGGGGCAGAAGGGCAACAGCTTTTATTTCATCTACCTGGGCACAGTTGCAGTAACCAAGGATGATGACGGCAGCAGTGCCTTCCTAGATCCCCATCCGATATTGCTGCGCAAGGGTAGCTGTTTTGGGGTAAGCCCAGGGAAAGGACCTGGCTTCCTGGAGTGGAATGGGTGGAGGTGACAGGACTCCTGCTAGAACCTCTCAGCCAGGCCCAGTCTTGCCTAGTACTCTGTACACGTCATTGTCCCGTGTGGGCCCCAGTGCCCTTACCTGTCAAATGCCAATTGAGTTGGACCAAGATCAGCCTCTTCATCTGTGATGTTTAAGGAGTATGTTCCTGATACAGCCCTTTAGAGATGCAGTGACTCCACATCGAGGCCTCTCCAGCTTCTTACCCTCTGGCCTGTTCAGGCCTGTTGCCTCTTTTTCCATAAGCAGCAGATTAAGAAGAAGGCGAGTGGGCCCCAGTGGAAGAATGTGCAGGAGGATAGAGGGGGCTGGGGAACATGCAGTCTGGGGAGGAGAGAATTCAGGGGGAAGATGGAGGCAGGGAAGATGTGTGTAAGGCTGAGAACAGGAAGTGGAGGTGGCTTCACACTTGCCCTTGCCCTGTCCACCTAACAGGAAATGGGCCTTCTGGATGCTTCAGTGAGGAGGGCCACCATTGTCTGTATGGAAGAAACGGAGTTCCTGGTTGTTGACAGGGAGGACTTCTTTGCTTATAAGCTGGACCAGGAAGTTCAGAAGGATGCTCAGTGTCGGTTTGAATTTTTTAGGTAACTCTACCTTCATTCAACATTTTTCTTCCCTTATGTGTTATTAGGTGCTTGACTTTGTCCGTCCTAGGCCTGGTGGGAAACATACTGGTTGCTGTTCTGTCTTGGATGCAGAGAAGTCCCACCTCCCACCGACTTTCTCTGTCTGCAAACTCCTACTATACCTTCAGGCCTCAGCTCAAATATCCCTTTCTTATTGATAATAATAGTAAAAATAGTGAACTTGGGACTGGGCACAGTGGCTCACTCCTGTAATCCCAGCACTTTGGGAGGCCAAGGTGGGAGGACCCTTGAGCCCAGGAGTTCAAGACCAGCCTGGGCAACATAGTGAGATCCTGTCCCTACAAAGTAAAAACTTTAAAAAAAAATTAGCTGGGCTGGGCACTGTGGCTCACACCTGTAATCCCAGCACTTTGGGAGGCCGAGGTAGATGGATCACGAGGTCAAGAGATCGAGACCATTCTGGTCAACATGGTGAAACCCCGTCTCTACTAAAAATACAAAAAAAAAAAAAAAAAAAAAAATTAGCTGGGCATGGTGGCTCGTGCCTGTAATCCCAACTACACAGGAGGTTGAGGCAGGAGAATTGCCTGAACCCAGGAGGCGGAGGTTGCGGTCAGCCGAGATCGCGCCATTGCACTCCAGCCTGGGCAACAAGAGCGAAACTCCGTCTAAAAAAAAAAAAAATTAGCTGAATGTGGTGATACGTACCTATAGTTTCAGCTGCTTGGGAGGCTGAGGTGGGAGGGTCACTTGGGCCCAGGAGTTTGAGGCTGTGGTGAGTTGTGATCACATCATTGCACTCCAGTCTGGGTGACAGAGCACTGTTCTAGTAGCTAGGACTACAGATGCGCTGCCACATTCAGCTAATTTTTCTATTATTTGTAGAGACGGAGTCTTGTTATGTTGCCCAGGCTGGTCTTGAACTCCTGGTCTCAAGTGATCCTGCAGCTTTGGCCTCCTAAAGTGTTAGGATTACAGCCCCCATGCCCAGCCTGAACTGTAATTCTTTTTCTTTTTTGAGGCAGGGTCTTGCTCTGTCGCCCAGGCTGGAGTGCAGTGGCGCAATCTCAGCTCACTGCGAACTTCACCTCCTGGGTTCAAGCAATCCTTCTGTCTCAGCCTCCCACATAGCTGGAATTACAGGCATGTGCCATCACTGCTGGCTAATTTTTTGGTATTTTTAGTAGAGACAGAGTTTCACTGTGTTGGCCAGGGGCGTCTCGAACTCCTGACCTCAAGTGATCTGCCTGCCTCGGCCTCCCAAAGTGCTGGGATTGCAGGCGTAAGTCACCGTGCCCAGCCCAAACTATAATTCTTGATTGCATAGTAATTTCTTTACGGTTTATATGCCCCCCTCAGACAGTAAACAATATGGTGACAGGGACCAGCTCTTTGTCACTACTGTAATCCTTATGTTGTCACACTGCCAGACACATGCAGGTGCTCAACAAATAAATATTGAGTAAGGTGAATAACAGGATATAAATAATTACAACCATGTGTGAGTTAGAAAGTAAGCAGAACTAAAAGCAGAACTCATACATAGCAAAAATTTTTTGTTTTTCAAATACTTATGTACATGAAAGGCCATATAAGGATATACAAATGAAATCTCATTTAATTACTATTTAGTTATTTGCCTTTATGTAAAAGAGTAAAAATCCAACAAAGTATCTGCACTGGCCTGAAAATTCAGGTTGTAGGGCTGCATAGCTACAGAGAGGTGAGACGGCCAAGGGGTCTGGTTCCTGTGGTTGGGGCTGAGGGAGGTAGTTCCATCCCCTAGAAAAGTGGGGATTTAGTCCTAAAGGGAGAACCTGTTCTTTTTTTTTTCACTGTGGAAAAATAGGTCTGGGTCCAATCTCAGCTCTTAGGTTATCAGCAATGTGACCCTGGATAGGTCATGTCATTTTTCTGTGCTTTAGCCTCCTGCTCTGTAAAATGGGTATAAGAATACCCTTCTCCCAAGGCCATTGTGAGCATGGAATGGGATGATCATAGGAAGTATGTAGCCCAGTGGTTGGTGTATGGTAGGTACTCCTTCTATGGTGGCCCTACTTTTCTTCTGGTGTCTCCAGACCTTTGTCCCAGGCATGGCACTGACTGTGTTCACCTCTGGTGCCAGGTGCACATTGAGGCCTGAGTCACCTTGAGTTAGCCTGATATAATGAACTCAGTCCACCTGAGTCAGTTAAGTTTGGAGCCCTTAACCTGTGGGAGGTGAGAAAATCTGAGATGATTGTTGTCAACCCTTGGAGCCACATATGAAGACAGACAAGCCTGTGAAGGTGGTGGTCAAGGTCAGGGGAAGGGCAGTCACTGTGGGGTGGCCTCAACCATGGGGAACAACAGGCAGAAAGAGGGGAGTCCAGACATGTCCTCCTCCTCAGGCCCAGAGCTGAGTATTTGAAGTCAGCAGGCCAGGGGAGACAGGGGTTGGATGAGCTCCCCAAAGCAAAGGTAGGACCAGAACCACTAAGCTAGGGAACAGAACAGCCATGAGCTGGAGTGGGGACTAGCTTCATGAGCCACGGAGGAGAGGGGTGGCAGGGCTGGAGGAGAAGAAGTTTCTTGGAAAGAGGAGCAGAGGTGAGAAAATCACAGAGGCTGGATCACCCAGGGGCATCTGAGCAGCAGCAAAGAGGGGAGCTAGGCTGGAAGGGAGGGCCTTGGGAATGGTGCAGAGAGCTAAGGCGATAGCAGGTGATAGTCAAGGTGATAGTGGCTACAGGCAAGGCCAGGTGATCAGGCAGGTAGCAGTAAATTCTTTCACCTGGTCATCTTCCACTGGAGAAGAGCATGTGCTCTCTGTAGATTGCTAAGGTCTGAGCACCTTGTGTGGTGGAGGTGATGAATTCTAACAGGCTTTTCCCACAGGAAGATGGATCTGTTTGCATCATGGTCTGATAAGAAGCTCTGGCAGCTCGTAGCCGTGGCAAAGATAGAGAAGTTCTCATATGGGCAGCTGATCTCAAAAGACTTTATAGAGTCGTCCTTTATCATGTTTATCAGCAAGGTGAGAAGGCTGAAGGTTGGGTGAGGGTGAACCTCTGAGGAGCATGCCTAAGATCATGTCCTGTGACCTGATGGTCAGAGTCCAAGCCCCTTTCTGCAACCTGTGCAATTCACTCCCTTTTCTGAGTTTTCATGTCCCAGCTGTAAGATGCCTGCCTCTCTCAGAGTGCGGCTGGAGACATTAAGATACATGGCAATTGGGCTTGGTGGCACCTACTTTTAATCCCAGCTACTCAGAAGGCTGAGGAATGAGAATCACTTGAACCCAGGAGGTGAAGGTTGCAGTGAGCTGAGATTGCAACACTGCACTCAAGCCTGATGGGAGCAAGACTCCATCTCAAAAAAAAAAAAAAAAAAAAAAAAAAAAGAAAGAAAAAATCATGTGAGTGTGAGAAATAGAACAGTATATCACAAGTCAGATTTAATAACATTGAATTTATTGGGAAGAGACTGGATTGGGATGCAACTTCATTTGTCCAATCATGGTTGAGTTGCAAGTATAAACTGTAAGAGTTCAGCCAAAATCCACAAAAGAATTCTGTGAGAGGCCGGGCACAGTGGCTCACACCTGTAATCCTAGCACTTTGGGAGGCCGAGGCAGGCGGATCACGAGGTCAAGAGATTGAGACCATCCTGGCCAACATGGTGAAACCCTGTCTCTATTTAAAAAAAAAAAAAAAAAGAATCTGTGAGAGCTGATTGGCTGTATAGAATTTCCTGCATGGTATATATATTTTTTATTTTCTTGTATGATATATTTTATTATTTATAAATTGTGTGTAACACATTCTTTGTAACAATAAAGTTCATATACAGGCATATGGTTTTCAGGAGAGCTGGTTGTTAAACTTGCCAGCACCACCAGGGGAGTGGTGTGTGTGTTGTTGTTTTAGACTCAGTCCCAGAGAACAGAATCAAGTCTAGTTAATATAAGTAGCAAAAGATTTATTGCTGGATATCAATTGAAATTTCCTTCTCCTCCATATTTGGTTCTTCTTTGCTAAAATTTTGAGGTGATCACCTCTGCCATGTCTCCAAATTTAACTCTAAGCTCTTTGATACTATATAGTCAGGAAAGATGGGGGATGTATGGTGAGGGACAGAAATTCTTTCCAGTATTTTCTTTAATCAGAATAATGATTACATTCTGACTAGCAGAAAGTTGGGGGTGGATCTTCATCTGTTTTGCCTCCATTGCTTCATCCATGAAATGGAACCACTCACCCTGTAAAGTCTGTTTAAGGATGAGAATCAGTTTAGCAAATGCTTCTTCAGTGAGCATTCCTCCCACAATCCAGTGGTTCTCAAAGTGCTGTGATTGGACCAGCGGCAGCACCAGCAGTACTTGGGAACTCATTATTATTTCTTCTTCCTCCTCCTCCTCCTCTTCTTCTTTTTTTTATTTTTTATTTTTTAAGACAGGATTTCACCATATTGGTCAGGCTAGTCTCGAACTCCTGACCTCAGGTGATCCACCCACCTCAGCCTCCCAAAGTGCTGGGATTACAGGCGTGAGCCACCTTGCCTTGCTTTCTTCTTCTTCTCTTTCTTCTTCCTCTTCCTCTTCTTCCTCTTCTCCTTCTTTTTCTCCTTCTTTCTTCTTCCTCTTCCTCTTCTTTTTTTTTCTGAGATGGAGTTTCACTCTTGTTGCCCAGGCTGGAGTGCAATGGCATGATCTTGGCTCACTGCAACCTCTGCCTCCCAGGTTCCAGTGATTCTCCTGTATCAGCCTCCCAAGTAGCTGGGATTACAGGCATCTGCCACCATACCCAGCGAATTTTTGTATTTTTAGTAGAGACAGGGTTTCACCATCTTGGCCAGGCCGGTCTCGAACTCCTGACCCTCAGGTGTTCAGCCTGCCTCAGCCTTCCAAAGTACTGGGATTACAGGCGTGAGTCACCATGCCCAGCTGGGAACTCATTTCAAAATGCAAATTCTCAGGCCCCCCAAGAGCTACTCAATCCATAACTCTAGGAGGAAGGGCTCAGTGATCTGTGTTTTAACAAGGCTTCCAGGTGATTCCAAAGGACACTGATGTATGAGAACCTCTGCCCAAAGGAAGGAATTCTCAAATTTTGGTAAGCATACAAATACATAGGGTGTTTTTTAAAAAGGCAGATTGCTGTCTAACCCCAGAGATTGATTCATTAACTCTGGAATCTGCAGTTGAATAAGTGCTGCAGGGGATTCTTATGCAGGTGTGCTGAGCCTTCATTCTGAGAAACATAATGTGGAAGTCACTAAAGGACAGCAAGGTAGGGCGCTCTTGGCCAGAAGATGAGTCTGGTTTGTTCTTTATAGTGTTTTATGAAGTCTGATTTAATCATCAATATGAAGATTTTACATAAAAATTCTCATTTCTGGCTTTTGAGAATTCAGAGGATCAGGTAACACTAAACCATATTTTGGTACAGCCCCCACCTCTGGCTGGAAATGAGAAGCACCAGCCCCCTCTAAAGGACTGCTCTTTTCTTTCTTTTTTCTTTTTTTTTTTTTCCTGCTTGGTCAACTTTTTTTTTTTTTTTTTTTTGAGATGGAGTTTTCGCTCTTGTTACCCAGGCTGGAGTGCAATGGCGGGATCTTGGCTCACTGCAACCTCCGCCTCCTGGGTTCAGGCAATTCTCCTGCCTCAGCCTCCTGAGTAGCTGGGATTACAGGCACACGCCACCATGCCCAGCTAATTTTTTGTATTTTTAGTAGAGACGGGGTTTCACCATGTTGACCAGGATGGTCTCTATCTCTCGACCTCGTGATCCACCCGCCTCGGCCTCCCAAAGTGCTGGGATTACAGGCTTGAGCCACCGCACCAGGCTTGGTCAACGTTTTGAGTGTTCATCTCTGAAGATCAAGCTGTCCCGACTCTTGTAGTTAACTCATATTGCCACTAGAGGGCAAAATCAGCTGCGAGTGGCTGGACACCCTAGGGACCTCCGAAAGCTGGAGATTTTCTTTTCGCATTGAAAACTTAATGTCCACTATCAACTCATTTCTAACAGTTTATTATTGAGGGACACGTAGTGGAACTGTTTTCTCTATAGATACAATTGAAGACTCACTAAATACTTGAGGAAACCAGGCTTATGTTGTTTCTCTGGGACTTGCAGTTCCTCTGTGTCTCAAAAAAAAAAAAAAAAAAAAAAAAAAATGCATAAGGATTTCAAATCTAAACTTTACAGCTTCATAAGTTTTTATATATGTATACACCTGTGTGATCATTGCCCAAATCAAGATAAAGAACATTTCGACTACTCCAGAAGGCTCTCTTGTGCTCCTTCCTAGACAGAATCCCCCCACAAAGCTTACCACTCATGACTTTTGCATGTTTTTGAACTTCATATAAATGGAATCATAACAGTGTGTACTCCTTGTGTCTGACTTCTTTTGCTCAACTGAATACTTGTTATTTTAAATTTTGTAAATTATGGTGTACATAGAATAATATGTAGCCCTTAAAAATGATACTACAGAACCATGTTGTTTGGCATGAAAAGAGGTCTTTGAGATAGATATATATCTCAATTTTTTTTTTTTTTTTCTGAGGTGGAGTTTCCCTCTTGTTACTCAGGCTGGAGTGCAATGGTGCAATCTTCTCACTGCAGCCTCTGCCTCCCGGGTTCAAGCAATTCTCCGGCCTCAGCCTCCCGAGTAGCTGGGATTACAGGTGCACGCCACCATGCTCAGATAATTTTTTGTATGTTTAGTAGAGACGGGGTTTCACCATGTTGACCAGGATGGTCTCGATCTCTTGACCTCGTGATCCACCCACCTCGGCCTCCCAAAGTGCTGGGATTATAGGCGTGAGCCACCGCGCCCGGCCTGGTCTTTGATATATTATTGAGTTTCTAAAAAAATTACAAGAGTCTGTTTTACATACATGAACTCATTGATAAAAGATTGTAGATATACATCTTTTTTTCTTTCTCTGATGCTTGGGAAGATATACATCTTACATGTTCATAGAGAAAAGTTTGAAATAATTTTCACTAATATGTTACTACTGGTTATTTCTGGGTGTCAGAATTAATGTAGTTTTTACTTTCTCTATGTTTTTCTGTTTGGTCTGAATATTTTTAAACTTAATTTTGGAATAATTTTAAATTTATAGAAAAATTATGAGAACAGTTACAAAGAACTTATGTTGCTGGGACTACAGCATGCACCACCACGCCCAGCTAATTTTTTTCTTTTTTTTTTTTTTGAGAGGGAGTTTTGCTTTTGTTGCCCAGGCTGGAGTGCAATGGTGCAATCTCAGCTCACTGCAACCTCTGTCTCCACAGTTCAAGCGATTCTCCTGCCTCAGCCTCCCGAGTAGCTGGGATTATAGGCACCTGCCACCACACCCAGCTAATTTTGTATTTTTAGTAGAGATGGGGTTTCTCCATGTTGGTCAGGCTGGTCTTGAACTCCTAACCTCAGGTGATCCACCCACCTTGGCCTCCCAAAGTGCTGGGATTACAGGCATAAACCACCGTGTCTGGCTTAATTTTTGTATTTTTAGTAGAGACAAAATAGTTTTGTATTTTTGCCATGTTGGCCAGGCTTGTCTTGAACTCCTGGGCTCAAGTGATGTTCCTGCCTCAGTCTCCCAAAGTACTGTGGTTACAGGTGTGAGCCACTGTGCCTGGCTTATATTTAGTTCTTATGCTTCTTCAGTTACTTGAACTTCTTATGGTGGGTAAATAACACTTTCATTTAAAAAATAAAATAAAAAAAAGAACCAGGGTGGGTGCGGTGGCTCATGCCTGTAATCCCAGCACTTTGGGACGTTGAGGCAGGCAGATCATTTGATGTCAAGAGTTCGAGACCAGCCTGGCCAACATGGTGAAACTCTGTCTCTACTAAAAATACAAAATAGCCAGGCATGATGGCACATGTCTATAATCCCAGCTACTCAGGAGGTTGAGGCAGGAGAATCACTCGAACTCAAGAGGCAGAGGTTGCAGTGAGCCGAGATTGCCCCATTACACTCTATCCAGCTTGGGTGACAAAGTGAGACTCTATCTCAAAACAAAAACAAAAACAAAAACAAACAAAAACAGGCTGGGCGCAGTGGCTCAAACCTGTAATCCCAGCACTTTGGGAGGCTGAGGCGGGTGGATCACGAGGTCAAGAGATCGAGACCATCCTGGTCAACATGGTGAAACCCTGTCTCTACTAAAAATACAAAAAATAAGCTGGGCATGGTGGCGTGTGCCTGTAATCCCAGCTACTCAGGAGGCTGAGGCAGGAGAATTGCTTGAACCCAGGAGGCGGAGGTTGCGGTGAGCCGAGATCACACCATTGCACTCCAGCCTGGGTAACAAGAGTGAAACTCTGTCTCAAAAAAAAAAACAAAAACAAAAAAGAAAAAACCCAAAACCACTTGCATTAAGCAAATAAAACAAGATAAGATGCAATTCAGAGAAATTTTCTTCAAATCCTGGCCTGCTTGGAGCCTTAGGGATTAACCCTTTTGCTGTGTCCATTGCTATTTTCAGGGCAGCTGTGAAGTCCTGCGGCTGTTGGACCTTGCTGCCTCCCCTTCCTACCACAAGTGGGTCTGGCAGCACCTGGAGCTGATCGATGACAGGCCTCTGATGACCCACCTACGTGGTAAGCTGCCTAGCCCGTCTGACAGCAGGGGGCGCCTGGGCCCATCCTGTTTTCAGTTCCCAGTCCATAAACCTTAGAAATCTAGAGCCTGGCCGGGCGCGGTGGCTCAAGCCTGTAATCCCAGCACTTTGGGAGGCCGAGGTGGGTGGATCACGAGGTCAAGAGATCGAGACCATCCTGGTCAACATGGTGAAACCCCGTCTCTACTAAAAATACAAAAATTAGCTGGGCATGGTGGCGCGTGCCTGTAATCCCAGCTACTCAGGAGGCTGAGGCAGGAGAATTGCCTGAACCCAGGAGGCGGAGGTTGCGGTGAGCCGAGATCGCGCCATTGCACTCCAGCCTGGGTAACAAGAGCGAAACTCCGTCTCAAAAAAAAAAAAAAAAAAAAGAAATCTAGAGCCAGCTGGCCTGACAGGGTATCTCATCTGTGCCCTTCCGTGGAAACCAGGGTATCTCATCAGCACTCAGCTGTGGAAACCTGTTCTACAAGGCCCTCCCCTCCTTTCCAGTCTGTCTCTCTCTCTCTCTCTCTCTCTCTCTCTCTCTCTCTCTTTTTTTTTAGCCTTTTCCCTTTTGCTTTTCAGGTTCTTTCACATGACCATCGACTCCTTGCCTCACATATCCCCTGCCCTTTTTTTCACCCAGCTCTCTTTTGCTTTTTAAAATTTGTTTGTTTATTTATTCATTCTGTCTCTGGGTTTGCCTATGATGGACTTTTCATATAAATAGCATCATACATTATGTGGCTTTTTGAGTCTGACTTCCTTCACTGAGCACCATGTTTTCAAGGTCCGTTTATGTTACAGCACATATCATTTCTTCATTCTGTTTTATGGCTGAATAATATTCTAATGTATGCATATACCACATTTTTGTTTGTCCACTTATCAGTTGATGAACATTTGGATTGTTTTCACTTCTTGGCTGTTTTGAAATGTTGCTGTGAACATTTGTATACAAGTTTTTATGTCAACATATTTTTCATTTCTCTTGGGTATTACTTATATGCCTAGGAGTGGAATTTCTGGGTCATATGGTATCTTAGTCCATTTGCCATTTCTATAACTAAATATCTGAGACTGGGTAACTTATAAAGAAAATAAATATTATTCTTATAGTTCTGGAGGCTAGGAAGTCTAAGGTTGAGAGGCTGCATCTGGTGAGGGCCTTCTTGCTGGTGGGGACTCTTCAAAGTTCCAAGGCAGCAAAGGGCATCACATGGAGAGGGAGTGCTTCTGTTTCTGAGATGTTAGACTACACATCTTTCCTTGGAGAAGTCTTCCTGGTTTCTCATGCTGGACCGGATCTTCCATCCACTGTTACATCCCATTCAAGTACCATTCAAGTACTCTTCTGTTTTGTGTAACCCCACTGAAATCATATAACTGCGTCTGAAATGGTTATTAAACATTTGTTTCCGTAGCTAGAATATAAGCTCTATGAGGGCTTTGCATTCCCAGGGCCTCGTATCATGCTTGGCATCTAGTAGGTGCTCAGAAGCGAATTACAGGGTTAATGGGTAAACATATTTCTGCTGCTGTGTGTGATTTGGACATATCTTCAGGCTGTAAATGTGTGTGCACTCTCCACAGCTTTAACCAAACTCATGTATCTAGTAACAAGTATGAAAACAGTGATCATTTATTGAATTCTGATTGTAGGTTTATTATATTGAGCTTAACTGTTTATACATATTGCATAATTTTCATAATAACTCTTTTTTTTTTTTTTTTTTTTTTTTTTTGGAGACAGAGTCTTGCTCTATTGCTCTATTGCCCAGGTTGGAGTACAGTAGTGCAATCTCAGCTCAGTGCAACCTCCACCTCCCAAGTTCAGGTAATTCTCCTGCCCCAGCCTCCCAAGCAGCTGAGATTACAGGGACATACCACCATGCCCAGCTAATTTTTGTATTTTTAGTAGAGACAGAGTTTCACCATGTTGGCCAGGCTGGTCTTGAACTCTTGACCTTAAGTGATCTGCCCACCTCAGCCTCTCAAAGTGCTGGGATTATAGGCGTGAGCCACTGTGCCTGGCCTAATAACTCTTTAAGAAGGTATGATTGTACCATTTGACACATGAGAAAACTGGCTCACAGGGCAAATAAGTAGCAACGTAGGACTGCAGAGTTGGGATTCTAACCCAGGAGCAACTGGTTCCAAAGCCCAGACTTCTTTCTCTTCATAAATGTCTCCAGCCTTCCTCAATCTCCATTTGCTGTTGTTGGACACAGACATTGTCAAGTAGTACCCTCTAGAACTGGCCAGGGTGATAACCAGGCTTCCTGATTCTGGGGTATATTGTTTCCATTCACAACTCTGTGTTAGCATTTTTATTTACGTTTTCCCCCTTCCATCCTCCGCAAATCTTTTTGTCTCACCCACTTGGATCAAGAACCGAAGCCCTCAGCAGACATTTGCAGTTATTCAGGTGTCTTACCTCTTACCTTGTGCTCACTACTGGTGTGCTTGCCCCACATCCCTTGAAATTGTAATCTGTGTATCCTGGGCCCTCCTCCCCAAGGACTGCCTTACAGATACAGCCAGTCCTACTGAGATTAGAACTGAGGCCAACACAGGGAGGCAGAGGAGAAGGGTGGAAAAAGGAGACATTGGAGCTGAACAGAGCTGGGTTTGAATCCCACTTATTAGCTGGGTAACTGTGGTGAGTGCTTAAAGCCTCTGGGCCTGGTTTCTTCATATTTACCTTGGGTAGTGTCGTGGTTGGGAGCATAGGCTCAGAGCCCACTGCTTATGTTTGAATACAGGGTCCTTCTCTTACTAGCAATGTGATACTGGACAAATGACTCTATGACCATGTGTACCAGTGCCCTCAGAGTCTGTAAAATGTAAATAATGGTCTCTACCTTATAGTATTGTAATGACATTAAGCAAATTAATATATGAAACTCTTAGATGTTTGTTGTCACTACCGTACAGGCTACTAGCAAGGCTGAGATGATGTTTGCATGAGGCCTTGTAAGTACTTGGTAAATGTTTCTTCTCATGTTAGTTCTTGTTTGTCCCTTTTCCACTGTCAAGCCACCAGAGAAAAAGCTGCATCCCACAAAATTTTGATATGTTGTATTTTCATTGTTATTCACTTCAAAGTATCTTTAAATTTCCCTTTTGATTTCTTCTTTGACCCATGGAATATTTAGAAGAGTGTTTAGTTTCCAAACATTTGGGGGATTATCCAGCTATCTTTGTTATTGATTTCTTTTTTTTTCTTGAAAAGGAGTGTCGCTCTGTTGCTCACACTGGAGTGCAGTGGTGTGATCTCGGCTCACTTCATCCTCCACCTCCAACCTCTTCTTTTTCTACCCTTCTCCTTTGCCTGCCTGTGTTGGCCTCAGTTCTAATCTCAGGAGGACTGGCTGTATCTGTAAGGCAGTCCTTGGGATGGAGGGCCCAGGATACACAGATTACATTGATCCTGGGTTCAAGCAATTCTCCCTCAGCCTCCCAAGTAGCTGGGACTACAGGCACCACCACACCTGGCTAATTTTTGAATTTTTAGTACAGACGGGGTTTTGCCATGTTGACCAGGCTGGTCTCAAACCCCTGACCTCTGGTGATCTGCATGCTTTGGCCTCCCAAAGTGCTGAGATTACAGGCATGAGCCACCGTGCCCAGCCTGTTATTCATTTCTAAGATAACATACCTTATATGATTTGAATCCTCTGAAATGTATTACAACTTGTTTTGTGGTTCAGAATATAGTCTATCTTGGTAAATGTTTCATTTGCATTTAAAAAAAAATTCTGTTTTTGGGTGCAGTGTTCTATGAATGTTAAGTAGGTAAAGTTGGCTGATAGTATTGGTCAAATCATCTGTACCCTTATAACTTTCTGTCTGCTTGCTCTATCAATTGTTAATAGAGGCCGGGCATGGTGGCTCATGCATATAACCTCAGCGTTTTGGGAGGCTGAGGTGGGTGGATCACCTTAGGTCAGGAGTTCGAGACCATCCTGGCCAACATATAGTGAAACCCTGTCTCTATTAAAATAGTACAAAAATCAACTGGACGTAGCGGTGCATGCCTGTAGTCCCAGCTTCTTGGGAAGCTGAAGCAAGAGAATTACTTGAACTTGGGAGGCAGAGGTTATAGCGAGCCAAGATCGCACCACTGTACTCTAGCCTGAGTGACAGAGCAAGACTCTGTCTTTAAAAAAAAATTGTTAATAGAGTTGTTAAAATTTCTAGCTATAATTGTAGATACATTTTTCTCCTTGTATTTCTGTCTGTTTTGCCTCATATATTTGAAGCTCTTTTATTATATGCTTAGACAGTTGGGATTGAACTCTTAATCATTATGAAGTGAACTTCTTTGTCCCTGGTAATATTCTTTGCTCTGAAACCTACTTTTTCTGATATTAATTCAGCCACTTTTGATTTAAAGTAGCTTCCTTTTGATTAGCATTAGTTTGGTATGTCTTTTTCCATCCTTTTGTGTTTAACCTATTTGTGTCTTTATATGTAAAAGTGGGTTTCTTAAAGGTAGCATATAATTGGGTCTTAAAAAAATCCTATCTGACAATCTGCCTTTTTATTGAGATGTCTAAGTCATTTACATTTAATGTTAATATTGATTATGGTTGGATTTAACTTTACCATCTTGTTTTTTTTTTCTATTTGCCATATATATTCCCTTTTTCTTTTGTTTTTCCCTTTCTTTTGTATTATGTATTTTGTATAATTTATTTTCTTTGTTGGCTTATTAGCTGTTTGTGGTATTATTTTCACGGTTGCTCTGTGATCATTTTATATACTTTAACTTATCACATTCTGCCTTTAAGTGATATTATACCACTTCATGTATAGAATCAGAATCTTACAACATTATATTTCCATTGTGTCTTCCTAGATATTATGCTATTGTGATATATTCTACTTGCATGTATGTTAAAAACCTTACCATATGTGGTTATTACTTTTGCTTTAAACAAGTATCTTTTAAGTATATTTAAATAATAATAAGAAAAGACTCTTTTTTTTTTTTTTTTTTTTTTTTTGAGACGGAGTTTCGCTCTTTTTACCCAGGCTGGAGTGCAATGGCGCGATCTCGGCTCACCGCAACCTCCGCCTCCCGGGTTCAGGCAATTCTCCTGCCTCAGCCTCCTGAGTAGCTGGGATTACAGGCATGCACCACCACGCCCAGCTAATTTTTTTGTATTTTTGGTAGAGACAGGGTTTCACCATGTTGACCAGGATGGTCTCGATCTCTCGACCTCGTGATCCACCCGCCTCGGCCTCCCAAAGTGCTGGGATTACAGGCGTGAGCCACCGTGCCCGGCCCAGAAAAGACTCTTATACTAACCTACATAGTTACTATTTTTAATGTTCTTTGTTCCTTTGTATAGATCCAGATTTCTACCAAATACCATTTCCTTCTGCCTGAAGTATTTTCTTTAACCTTTCCTATATTTCAGGTCTGTTAGTGATGAATTATTTCAGCTTTTCTATGTCTAAAAACTATTTTATCTTCTTCTTCTCCTTTTTTTTTTTTAAGAGATGGGGTTTCTGTGTGTCGGTCTGGCTGGTCTTGAACTCCCAACCTCAGTTGATCCACCCACCTCGGCCTCCCAAAGTGCTGAGATTACAAGTGTCAGCCACTGCGCCCAGCCTTTTATCTTCATTTTTGAAAGAAATTTTTGCTGGATATAAAATTCTAGGTAAACAGGTTTTTGTTTTTGTTTTTTTTTTTTTTAATGTTGCATTCAAATCTGTTTTCTGGCTTACATTGTTTTCAACAAGAAGTTTGTTAACATTTTTATTTATTTATTTACTTATTTTTTCGAGATGGAGTTTCACTCTTGTTACCCAGGCTGGAGTGCAATGGCGCGATCTCGGCTCACCGCAACCTCCACTTCCTGGGTTCAGGCAATTCTCCTGCCTCAGCCTCCTGAGTAGCTGGGATTACAGGCACACACCACCATGCCCAGCTAATTTTTTGTATTTTTAGTAGAGATGGGATTTCACCATGTTGACCGGGATGGTCTCAATCTCATGACCTTGTGATCCATCTGCCTCGGCCTCCCAAAGTATTGGGATTACAGGCGTGAGCCACCGCACCTGGTTTATTTATTTATTTTAAAGACAGGGTTTCACCATGTTGTCCAGGCTGGTCTTGAACTCCTGACCTCAGGTGATTCACCCGCCTTGGCCTCCCAAAGTGTTGGGATTACAGGAGTGAGCCACCATGTCCTGCTGGATATCTCTTTTTAATCAATATTATTGTTGTATATGTATATTTTTTCTGGGGGGTGTGGAGTCTTGCTCTGTTGCCCAGACTGGAGTGCAGTGACACAGTCTCAGCTCACTGCAACCTCTGCCTCCAGGGTTCAAGCGATTCTCCTGCCTCAGCCTCCTGAATAGCTGGGATTATAGGTCCGCACCACCATGCCCGGATAATTTTTGTATTTTTTTATTTTTTTTAGTAGAAACAAGGTTTCCCCATGTTGGTCAGGCTGGTCTCGAACTCCTGATCTTGTGATCCAGCCGCCTCAGCCTCCAAAAGTGCTGGGATTCCAGTTAGCCACTGCACCTGGCCAATGTATAATTTTTATATGTCAGAATGCACATATTTTACATGTGTAGTTAAATGACAAATTAGAAAAAATAATTTTTTTTTTTTAGACAAGGTTTTACTTTGTCACCCAGTCTGGATTACATTGGCATGAACATGGCTCACTACAACCTTGACCTCCCGGGCTCAAGTAATTCTCCCACCTTGGCCTCCCAAGTAACTGGGACTACAGGCATGTGCCACCACACCTTGCTTATTTTTATGTTTTGTAGAGACCCGGGTTTGCCATGTTGCCCAGACTGGTCTCAAACTCCTGAGCTCAAGCGATCCTTCTGCCTTGGCCTTCCAAAGTGTGGGATTACAAGTGTGAGCCACTGTACCTGGTCACAGTTCCATGACAAATTTATACCTCCACAATCAATTTGTAGAACATTTCCATCACCCCAAAAAGTTCCCTTGGTCCCCCTCCCTAGGCAACCACCCATCATTCTCTACTCATCACCTCTGCCCTAGGCAACCTCTGATTTGTTTTCTATCATTATAGTGTAGATTTGTCTTCCCATAGTTTCATATAAATGGGATCATACAGTATAAACTCTTATATCTGGCTTCTTTTGCTTAGCGTGCTTAGTTTGCTCTTTTTTCTTTCTGAATTACATTTCCTTGGAGATTTTTTATTTTAAGAGACAAAGTCTTTTTTCTTTTTTTTTTAGATGGGGTTTTGCTCTTGTTGCCCAGGCTGGAGTGCAATAGCATGATCTCAGCTCACTGCAACCGCCACCTCCCAGGTTCAGGCAATTCTCCTGCCTCAGCCTCCTGAATAGCTGGGATTATAGGCATATACCACCATGCCCAGCTAATCTTTTTTTTTTTTTTTTTGTATTTTTTAGCAGACGCTGGGTTTCTTCATGTTGGTAAGGCTGGTCTCGAACTCCTGACCTCAGATGATCTGCCCATCTTGGCCTCCCAAATTGCTGGGATTACAGGCATGAGTCATCATGCTCGGCCAGGATGAGGTCTTTCTGTGTTGCCCAGGCTGAATTTGAACTCCTAGACTCAAGCAATCCTCCTACCTCAGCCTCTGGAGTAGGTGGGACTACAGGTATGCGCCACTGCAACTGGCTCTTGGCAATCTTTTTAAAATAACTCTCATGGAGGACCTATTATATGCTGGCACTGTGCTAGGCATATCACATGCTTTATCTGTAATTCTTTTTTTTGAGAGAATTTTACTCTGTTGCCCAGATTGGAACACAGTGTCGTGAACACAGCTCACTATAGCCTCAGTTTCCTGGGCTCAAGCAATCCTCCCATCTCAGTGTCCCCGGTAGCTAAGGCTACAGGCATACATCAGCATGCCTGGCTATTTCTTTAATTTTTTGTAGAGATGAGGTCTTGCCACATTGCCCAGGCTGGTCTTGAACTTCTAGACTCAAGTGATCATCTACCTGCTGGGATTACAAGTGTGAACTACCATGCCCAGCCTGTAATTCTTAACAATATTCCTTTGAGGGCTCTAATGATTATATGACTTGTCTAAGGTTCTATGACCAGTCATCCATTTATCTTTTATTGCTAACCCTGCCCCAATTTGAAAGCCCAGTTTGAAGGCCAGGATAAATATGATCTGTTAATGGAATGGTATGAGCTTTGAATCCAATAGACCCGAGTTCAAATCCAAGCTTTAACCTTTTTCTGAGTGACTTGAGCTCTCTGCTGTTCATCTTATCTTTTAAAGTATATTAATCACCCTTCTCCAGATGTAATGAATGTAAAGGCTCTAGCACAGGGCCTGGCACCCAGGGACATTACATGGAGGCCACAGAGTGTTTTCTTTCTTTTCTTTTCTTTTTTTTTTTTTTTAATTTCCCCATGTTCCAGACCATCTAGGCAGGTTCCTGTGATAAGCTTCAACTACTACCACCATAATCATCATATATGCAAAGTTCCATAAGTGTTTTCTTGTGCTTTCCCTAACAGAATACTCTCCTATGGAAAGATACAAGGAATTCCAGATCAAATCATATCCTCTACAAGACTTTAGCTCCTTGAAACTTCTGCATCTCCAGAAGGCCTGGAAGCTACAGGGCACAAGCTTCAGTGGGAACGTCAGAACTTCAGGAGACAGTCTCCCCAAGATGCTGGGCCCAAAGATCAAGTAAGCTCAGCCCTTGCCAGATAGATGGGTCCAGATTGTGGTTGCAAAGGGAGATAATACTTATCTGGCAGAATGTCAGGGATGCTGGGGAGGGGGCAAAGGTGGAGGACACAGGTCAATCCCAAAGGGTTGTGCATGAGGCAGCCTAGAGATATCCTGGGTCTGAGAGCCAGGACCCGCATTCTCCACCTGTAACGTGAAAGGGCACTTCAGGCATTTATCCACTTCTTTTCTCAGGGCCTCAGTAACCCACTTAAGGAGGAAGGGGCTGGACAGATCTTCTGGCTCTGACATTCTGTCGGTCTGTGTGTTGCTGGGCCCTTTTGATTTTGAGCTGCTTCAGAAAATTCTATCCATCTAAGGAAGGCAGTTATAGCACAGTAGATAAGAGCCTGTGTTTGAAATTAATCCTGGCTTGGCCACTTATTTTAGCTCTGTGTCCACAGGCAAAGGACTTAACCTCTCTAAGCTGTATTTCTTGGTAGATAATAGCATCTAAGTCTTGAGGTTGTTGCAAGCCAGCAGTTAAATGAGGTAATAATAATTATAGTTAACATTTACAGAATACTCTTTTAGCTGGGCATATTGGCACATACCTGTAGTCCCAGCTACTCAGGAGGCTGACGCAGGAGGATTGCTTGGGTTTAGGAAGTTGAGGCTGCAGTGAGCTGTGATTATGTCACTGTACCCCAGACTGGGCAACAGAGCAAGACTCTGTCTCTTAAAACAGACACACACACACACACAACAGGCTGGGTATAGTGGCTTACACCTGAAATCTCAGCATTTTGGGAGGCTGAGGCGGGTGGATCACCTGAGGTCAGGAGTTTGAGACCAGCCTGATCAACAGGCAGAACCCCATTGCTACTAAAAGTATAAAAATTAGCTGGGCATGATGGTGCTCACCTGTAATTCCAGCTACTTGGGAGGCTGAGGCAGGAAAATTGCTTGAATACAGGAGGCGGAGGTTGCAGTGAGCCAAGATCATGCTACTGCACTTCAGCCTGGGCGACAAGAGCAAAACTCCATCTCAAAAAAGAAAGAAAGAAAGAAAGAAATTCCTTCCTTTTGGCTGTGCCCAGTGGCTCATGACTGTAATACCAGCACTCTGGGAGGCTGAGGCGGGCAGATCACTTGAGATCAGGAGTTTGAGACCAGCCTAGGCAACCCTGTCTCTACTTAAAATGCAAAAATTATCTGGGCATGGTGGTGGGCGCCTGTATTCCCAACTACTTGGGAGGCTGAGGCATAAGTATTGCTTGAACCCCAGAAGTAGAGGTTGCAGTGAGCAGAGATCTCATCAGTGCTCTTCAGCGCCTGGGCAACAGAGTGAGATTCCATCTCACAAAAAAAAAAAAAAGAAGAAAAAGAAGAAATTCTTTTCTCATGCTGAGCATGAGGGGGCCATTCTGGACTTCCCCACCCATTAGGCCTGACTTGCTTGCATGGGATCATCAGCTCCTGCCTCTGATAAAAACAGCCCTCAGGTGTTTAAGAGGAGCAAGGGCCTGTTTCACCTTCCTCTCCCGTCTCCTCTTTTGCACCCTCCAATTCCTGACAATAGGAGTCAGTCCCTCCCAGGCTTGATTTTGAGTTTTCTCACCTTTTGGGGAGTTGTGAATTCCCCAGGGAGGGGAGCCCTCCACCTGCAGAAGAGCGAGGGCTGATTAGCAAGGGCCTCAGGAGCAGACTGTTACAGATGAGCTCTCTAACAAGCTGTCACATTTCAGATCCAGGCCTACTCAGTCCATCAAATGCACCATGATCAATACCAACCTTGGTGAGCTCCCCAAAGAGGCTGTAGTGGGGGCCTACGTGAAGGTGCATACTGTGGAGCAGGGAGAAATTTTGGTGAGTGTGCCAAGAGCTTTGTTCACCATGGAGCATGTATCATGAATGGGCTGGAATGTTAACTAATAAGAGTAAAGGTTTAAAAACACTTTCCTCATAGCCAGGTGTGGTGGCACATGCCTGTAATCCCAGCTACTTAAGAGGCTGAAACAGGAGAATCGCTTGAACCCTGGAAGTGGAGGTGACAGTGAGCCGAGATCATGCCATTGCACTCCAGCCTGGGTAACAAGAGTGAAACTCCATCTCAAAAAAACAAAACAGCCGGGCGTGGTGGCTCAAGCCTGTAATCCCAGCACTTTGGGAGGCTGAGGCGGGTGGATCACGAGGTCAAGAGATCGAGACCGTCCTGGTCAACATAGTGAAACCCCGTCTCTACTAAAAATACAAAAATTAGCTGGGCATGGTGGCACTTGCCTGTAATCCCAGCTACTCAGGAGGCTGAGGCAGGAGAATTGCCTGAACCCAGGAGGCGGAGGTTGCGGTGAGCCGAGATCGCGCCATTGCACTCCAGCCTGGGTAACAAGAGCGAAACTCCGTCTCAAAAAAAAAACCAAAAAAACAAAAAAACAAAAAAACTTCCTCCATATTTGATTATATTAAGGAATTGTGTCGATTTGTAAAGGTGGGATAAAAATAGGCTGGGTGTGGTGGCTCATACCTGTAATCCAAGCACTATGGAGCCTGAGGTGGGCAGATCACAAGGTCAGGAGTTTGAGACCAGCCTGACCAATATGGTGAAACCCTGTCTCTACTAAAAATACAAAAATTAGTTGGGCATGGTGGTGTGTGCCTGTAATCCCAGCCATTTGGGAGGCTGAGGCATGAGAATTGCTTGAACCTGGGAGGTAGGTGTTGCAGTGAGCCGAGATTGTGCCACTGCACTCCAGCCTGGGCAACAGAGTGAGACTTTGTCTTGAGGAAAAAAAACCAAAAATACAGTAAGAATATTGTGGCTGCTGGGAATGGTGGCACGTGCCTGTAGTCCCAGCTACTCGGGAGGCTGAGGTGGGAGGATCGCTTGAGCCCCAGAGCTCTGGGCTGTAGTGCGCAATGCTGATCAGGTGTCTGCACTAAGTTCAGCATCAATATGGTGACCTCCCAGGAGGTCTACCAGGTTGCCTAAGGAGGGGTGAACTGGCCCAGGATGGAAACAGAGCAGGTCAAAACTCCCGTGCTGATCAGTAGTGGGATCGTGCCTGTGAATAGCCACTGCACTCCAGCCTGGGCAACATAGCGAGACCCTATCTCTTTAAAAAAAAAAATAGAAGAAGAATATTGTGCCTGTTTTTAAAAAAGAGTCCTTATATTTAGGAGACACATATCAAAATATTTATATATTAAATGATGTGATATCTAGACTTGCTTTAAATGAATCCAGGAATAAGGCAAAGATGTTCCCTCTTACCACTCCTGTTCAACATTGTACTGAAAGTCTTATCTAGTCCATTCAAGAAAAGAAAATAAAAGGTATACAGATTGGGAAGGAAGAAATAAAACTATCTTTGTTTGCAGATAACATTATTGTCTATGTAGATAATTCCAAACAATTTTTTTTTTTTAAAAGAAAAACCTCTTGAAACTAAAAAACCTCTTGAGATTATAGCAGGGTCACAGGATATAAGATTAATATACAAGAGTCAATTGCTTTCCTTATACCAGCAATGAACAATTGGAATTTGATGTTAAAAAACACAATACCGGCTGGGTGCAGTAGTCCCAGCACTTTGGGAGGCAGAAGCTGGCAGATTACTTGAGGTCAAGAGTTTGAGACCAGCCTGGCCACCGTGGTGAAATCCATCTCTGCTAAAAATACAAAAATTAGCTGGGGCTGGGCATGGTGGCTTATGCCTATAATCCCATCACTTTGGGAGGCTGAGGTGAGTGGATCGCCTGAGGTCAGGAGCTCGAGACCAGCCTGGCCAACATGGTGAAACCCCCGTCTCTACTAATAATACAAAAATTAGCCAGGCGTGGTGGCGCACACCTGTAATCCCAGCTACTTGGGAGACTGAGGCAGGAGAATTACTTCAACCTGGGAGACGGGGGTTGTAGTGAGCTGAGATTGCACCATTGCATTCCAGCCTGGACAACAAGAGTGAAACTCCATCTCAAAAAAATAAATAAATTACTTAATATTTTTACAGAATCTGATTTCTAAAGAATTCAGTTTCTAAGGAGTCCGTTAGGAAAAGGCTAAATATTGCATGATTCCAATTCTAGGACATTCTGGAAAAGAAAAACACTATAGAGATAGTAAAATTATCAGTGGTTGTAAGAGGTTTGGAGTTCAGGGGATGGGATGAATAGTGAAGCACAGGGGACTTTTAGGGCAATAAAATTATTCTGTATGGCACTGTAATGGTGGCTACAAGAGCATTTGTCAAAACCCATATAATTTTACAGCACAAAGAGTGAATCTTAGTGTATGCAATTTGTTAAAAAGAAAAAAAATCATCTAGGAGATCAGTGGATCCTAGGAAGGAATATAAACTATGACAAGATAATCTATTACAAATGTATGAAACAATCTCTGTGAAGGAGTTGGGGAAAAAAGATGCTGACCTAAGTAACTGGGGAAATGAGTGGAGTTGGTAAGACTAAAGCAAAAGGAATTGTGCTTGAGCACTGTACCCTACTGATAAAGTTGTTTCTCATGAGGGTATGGATTAACAATACTTATACTACTATACATGGACACAGTGTTAACACTGAAATCAATCAGTTCAGTAAATGGATGGCAGAGGGTAGGAGCCAGGTTTTTCACTGCTTAAGCAGAAACGTTTAGAAAGGGGAGGAGCCTAGAATGCTCCATATGGTAATGGATTAGAATTGAAAACATCAGTAGACACTCAAGTTTTGCTCAATATATACTTATAGACAATTATGTATAGAAATATGTCTAGGTATGGGTAGAAACATACAACTGTTTTGCTCTGTCAGATAAGAGGGCCTAAAAGAAATGATACCCTTCTAGCAATAAGCACACTTAACACATGGATCTTGGTTTCTTTCTTTCTTTTTTTTTTTTTTTGAGACAGAGTCTTGCTTTGTCACTCAGATTGGAGTGCAGTGGTGCCATCTCAACTCACTGCAACCTCCACCTCCCGGGTTTGAGTGATTCTCCTGCCTCAGCCTCCCAAGTAGGTGGGATTACAGGTGTCTACCACCACACAAGGCTAATTTTTATAATTTTGTAGAAACAGGGTTTTGCCATGTTGGCCAGGCTGGTCTTGATCTCCTGACCTCAAGTGATTTACCCGCCTTGGCCTCCCAAAGTGTTGGGATTACAGGCATGAGCTACCATGCCTGGCCTTCTTTTACACTTTTTAAGAGACAGGCTCTTGCTCTGTCACTTAGGCTAGAGGGCAGTGGTGTGTGATCATGGCTCACTGCAGCCTTGAACTCCTGAGCTCAAGCAATCCTCTCACCTCAGTATTCTGAATAGCTGAGACTACAGGTGTGTGCTGCCATGTCCAAATAATTTTTAAATTTTTTTGTAGAGGGAGAGTCTCACTATGTTGCCCAGGCTGTTCTTGAACTCCTGGCTTCAAGCAATCCTCCCACCTTGGCCTCCCAAAGGGCTGGGATTATAGGTATGAACCATCATGCCTGGCCTCCATACTGGTTTTCATAATGGCTGTACTAATTTATATTCCCACCAATAGTGTATAAGGGTTCCCTTTTTTCCCACATCTTTGCCAACATTCGTCATATTTTGTCTTTTTGATAGTAACCATTTTAATAGGTATGACTCCATGTCATTGAATCTTCAATTTGCATTTCCATGATGATCAGTGATGTTGAGCACTTTTTCATATACCCATTGGTCATTTGTATGTCTTTCTTTGAGAAATGTCTATTCAAGGTTTCTTCCCATTTCTTTTTTTTTTTTGAGACGGAGTTTCGCTCTTGTTACCCAGGCTGGAGTGCAATGGCACGATCTCGGCTCACCGCAACCTCCGCCTCCTGGGTTCAGGCAATTCTCCTGCCTCAGCCTCCTGAGTAGCTGGGATTATAGGCACGCACCACCATGCCCAGCTAATTTTTTTTGTATGTTTTAGTAGAGACGGGGTTTCACCATGTTGACCAGGATGGTCTCGATCTCTTGACCTTGTGATCCACCCGCCTCGGCCTCCCAAAGTGCTGGGATTACAGGCTTGAGCCACCACGCCTGGCAATCTTCCCATTTCTTAACCAGGCTCAAGACTGAGTTGTTTAAGTTCATTATACATTTTGGATATTATCCCTTATCAGATTTATGGCTTGCAAGTATTTTCTACCATTCTTTAGGTTGTCTTTTTACTTTGTTGGTTGTTTCCTTTGCTATGCAGAAGCTTTTTAGTTTGATGCAATCTCATTTGTCTATTTTTGCTTTTGTTGCCTGTGTTTTTGGGGTCATACCCAAAAACACCATGGCCCAGGCCAATGTCAAGAAGCCAGATCATGATTTGTAATACAATTTCCCAATAAAAGAAACAAGGGTTCTTTGGAAGAATGGTGGAATCTAGGACCAGGGCAGGAAATACACAGGATGAGTCTAGAACATATTTATTATAATGCCAGAAAGTAAGGAAGAGCTGGGGGAGGGGCGGGAATGACCTTATTAATATGGGAGTATATCCAAGGGACATGGGGGCCAACTACAAGATCTCCTAATGCCAAAGCTGAAACAATTTGAACAACAAAATAAAGCAGTATTGGATTATAACCAAAAGTACAAAATAAATATCTATGAGTGCATATTGATATAAATGAATGAATAATAATAAATGGAGGAGAAGAGACAAATCTCCCTGAAGAATAAATTTCAAGCAATTTATGTAGATACTCTGCCTTAAAGAAGAGAGCCTAACTCTCTACTTCTTAAATGTGGGCCATGCATAGGACTTCCTTCCAAAGAGTACAGTATGGCCAGGGGGGAATGAAGTACTTTACAGTGGAGAAATCTAAAAAACACAGCCAGTTCATCAAGGCCAACATCAACAGCAAAACATTGTGTT